CCAATGAGGTTGAGCCAATCGACCATGTTCACATGGTTACCACTTTCCCCCAGTGAGTTTGCTGCACAAGTCTTCTGGTACCGGCAGGAGCTACTGATGATCTTACAACACAGAATTCAAACCTGTCAAGAAATCAGCACAAATACGGACTTTACCGTTCCCTGTCTTTGCCACCACGATAGGTGCTGCCCATGCTGAATAATGAACACGTTCGATTATCCATTCAGATTGTAGTCGGTTTAACTCGGCTTCCACTAAGGACTTGGTTGCGTAGGGCACCGGGAGTCTTGGTCTGAGGACTGGCTTGGCGTCTGGTTTAAGGTTCAATGCGGCAGTAGCTATGTTGCAGCATCCGAGACCAGGTTGAAACAATACATCGTGACGCCGTTTTATCTCTTCAATCTGACTTTGAAACATCGGGCTTGAAGGTGACGGTTGTGACATCAGATTGACTTGTGGTGGCTGACATACTGTTCACTGATTGATCAAGCAGTTTCAGTTCATTCATCCAGTCGAGCCCCAACAAATCTAATCCCGGCTGGTCTGTCAAGAAAAATGTGGTCTGGATTTGTTTATCACGGAAGTTTACCTGACAATTTAGTTCACCAAGCACTTTTAACGTGCCTCCTGAAGCATTCCGTGCCGTGTGGTCCGTTTGTATGAGTGTCGGTCTCCCTAGCATGCACCAAGTGTCGCGAGATATCAATTGTGTATTTGCGCTTGCTGGCCCCGTCAACCTTGAAAGTTGCGGTGATAGATCTGGTCAAATTGGGACGCCGGAACGATGTGGCATTGTTACGCATCTTCTTGGTCAAAACTGGGCGAGTCACCAGGGAACATGACTCCTTATGTCCTTTTCTGCCGCAGCGGTTGCAAGTGTGAGTTTTGGATTTGCACACTCTACCAAACCAACATGCAGTGGGAGGTTTGAATGCAGCGAACTCACGTGAGGAGCTCCTTTTTGGGGGGGGGGAGGTACGGCTGACTGCACAGACAAAATCTTGATCGTTCTGATTGGACAACTGCTGAATCATTGCCGTATTGTGCTTCAGATTCGTCATGCGTTCGGACTCACCGGTCACTTACTGCAATGTGACATCCGGATTCTGCCTAATTTTGTTCACTATACTTGTTCGAATGTCGGCCTCTTTGGATGCTTGTAGGTCACAAACGTATATGAGACAATTAAACTGATCGCTTGTCATTTTGTGTAGTTGTGACCGTGCGCAGTGGCGATTCACACTGCTAAAATAGTCGACCCAGTCTTCGTCTTCTTTTTTATTATTGTCCGACACTTGTACCGGATATTGAACAAAGATGTCTGCTCTCCGAAAATTTACGACAGGACTGTGACCGCTTCCTTGAATGACAACTCGGTACTCTTTTTAGATACGATAAAAGTGGTGAACTTCTTGTGTTCGGCAGTACCCAGCTTCCGCAGCATTAGTCGAATCTTCTTTTCCCCTGGAAGGTTGGCGAAATCCCCTCGGAACATGTCTTCATACTTGTACAACCAAGAAACAAATGTTATACGGGCATCAGCGTCATAATGGAACTCACTGATCTGCTAAGTTAGGGTTTCTGGTGAGGGAGTACTTTCACTTGTCCCTAACCCTGGACTTGACAGCACTGTCGGCTTTTGAGTTAGCAATATGATCACCTTGGCCTGGGATGCTAAAAACTGCGTCTGCTGTTGCTGCAAAATCATCTGCAATTGCTCAAAGCGGATTGCCATTTCTGGGTTCGGTTGTACTCGCGTCGCCACTGTCATAACGCCGTACTCGCAATCGACCGGTTGATTCACGCCTGCTGGTAAATCTGCGCCATTCCGCCTGCTCTGTTGAACGCCTTGACAAATCCGACAGGAAGGAAGACAGAAGAAGACTCAGCAGACCAGAGTTGTATTGGGACCGAGAACGCTCATACTTATATGCCTGTCTCACCAATCCTCTAAACATGGCCTGGCGGATTTGGCTGTAAGCCCACGCTTCACACTTCATTGTCCGCTCTGTCTGTCCAGTTCACCGTCTTGCTCGGACACTCCAGTCTTCGTCCACCCACCCGGGGCATGGCAACGCACGTGATGACTGACGCGCAATTTCATCAGCTTTCGGCTGGGCTCTGGCAACACGCACACAGAGTATGTCCCAAGCGCGAACACGTGCGCGTTGGCCATAAGCTTCTCGATCCGCTGTCATATGGTTAATATTCATTGCACATAACAACCAGATTGCTTACGCATCTGCACAGATCTATATGTGTCACTATGGGGCATAATTCTTAAGAGGCTAGTTTGCCTATATATATATATGTA